AGTTGATTGCAGCAGAAGTCTATAGTAGAAAGAACTATAAGAGCTATATGTAGAAGGATACGTTTTTTCCAACATGAAGTTCTCATACATTGAAAAGGTTTTATAGAAATCATTCCATCTCCCAGGTTCCACGAATGTAGCAGCACATCGTGAATGTGGATGAAGGACGGCCGCCAGCTGTCAGTTGTATGTTTTAACCTTTCCGCCAGTTTCATCAGGTGTTTTGCCTAGGCATCGACATTCCGGCAATACTCGGTGTGAACGTGCATATCCAGTGATGGGAATTGGCAAGATGAAATTTCCCTTTACAATGCATTTCTATTATAGCATAAATAACTGTAGCAACTAGTTAGTCGATGCTGTTTTTTTGAATGTGTAAGAAGTTGTTTTCGAAAAACCCGTCGAGTTGCACTTTTGTTCAAATGCACATGATATAAACAGTGCAACCATGTGAGCACCAACCAGCAGTCACGATGTTGAAAAGGTAAAAGTTGTTTGAAAAGCAGGAGTTGGTAGGAAAGCTGGGTGGTTTTTTCACCTGAGCCAGGACGTGAGTGAACACTGGACATGTTATATAGTGCAGATGATGGCATTCCTCAAAACAGTTCATCAAAAACAACGTAAGCTAATTTGAAGCAAATTAGTGAAGTGAATGAATGGGGATTCAAATTGTTTTTTAGAACGAACAAACCCCTAGGCTGTCCCAATCAATATATTACGCGATCAAACCTAATGATCTACTGGCTACGGGCCTTGAACGAGCGTATTCCTTGCCAAGTATAACGAAGAGAAGGGCTATAGTTGTCAGTTGTCTAAATTTAATTCTCCTTTGTTTTGGACATGTTACATCGTGTGGACCTAGACCTGCTATCTATTTTTGAGTTTTTTGAGCGCTTTGGTAATGTGCATCCTGACTTTGCTGGAGTTTGAGCTGTAATGGATCAAACAATACTAGGGTTATTGTGGTTACTGCTTTATTTTATATATATAGTAAGATTTTTTTCTTGTACTATAATGCTTTTTCCTTCTGTATGGTATGTTTGCTGGAGTTACACACGCGAAAATTCCCGTCTGTCTATTCATAATAGGCCCTTCGTCAGTGGTTTACCCTTCTCGTCGCCTTTTTTTTTCTTTTGGGCCGACGTGAGCGCGGCAATCTACCAGTGATTAATTGGCCGTAGCAACTCTGCGCTGTTTGTATTGAAAAGCAAAGAGTTTCACGTGATAAGCCGTTTCATCGCGATGTCATTCTTTCTCATCCTCTCCTGCAGCT